TAGATAGATAGATAGTTTATTCATATAAGACGTGTACAAAATGCACATGGTCACAAAATACATACATTCAAATATAATTAAACATCACGTAATCATCAAAGTTAACATTATTTAGTAGCAAAGTGTCATACAATGATAAAACTACATATTTGGACTGCATTAACAAAACATCTATAAATCTATAGCGTAGCGCTACGGTATAAGTTGATTTGTATAAAATTGAACTTAGTTCCGTCTTAATCAACAGTTATTGTGACGCAGTCTGTCGAGGCGTCAGGAGTTTGGAACTATATGCGTGAGTTCGAGCCATGCTGGTGACACTCTTTTATTTATTAAATTCAGTTTATTCAATAATTTGTTCTTACGATCTCAGTGTGTCCAGAAATAAATTTCCCGAAGAAAAGAAAAATACTCATATTCTGGAAGACATCCCCTTTAAATTAACATGTGATATTAAAGAATATTACATTCGTGTCTTTTAACATTGAACTTATTAAACTCATTGACGATAACATGCTCGACCGAGCCCCGTAATCCATCATTTTATCAAACTCATTTAATAAATTCAATATGAAAAGACACTCATGTGATATCCTCTATATTTATACTGTATCTAAATGATCTTCAGGTCAAGTTTAAAAATGTGGGCTCAGAATGAGGCAATTTAGTCAAGTCAAATTTTATTTCGTTTTATAGATAATTTCGAATCTGCGAAATTATTTCTAGATATAGATCAAATGATTCATCTGCTGTGGTCGGCGTTGTCGGTTAACAACATTTGAACAATCGGCAGAATTCAGGAAAACAGCCTTCAAGGTTAGGTGGTTTCGAATATATTTCCGTACATACATCAACTTCTTCTTTGTTAACGTTGTGGCTATAATTCTTAGTGTTATATAGTTCAGGTAATGTATACATGATATCAGGTTTACCTCGTGGTCCATCTGTTTTCCCCTTAGAAATATCATGTGAATTCCACTCATTCGTAAATTTAATTAATTCACTTCGTATAACAGGTGTGAAACAATACATTAAACATTGTCTTTGGAACATATCACCATCGCAATAGATACCTGTGTCTCGCAAGTCTTTGAAAAAACTTATCCAAAAGTCCATGCACTGACATCTAAGCATGCTCCACATGGATTCTATTCTTTGATTTGAGGTACTTTTACCTTGAATGAAGCCTTTTCAAGCTGAATGATCATCATGGTGGTGCAAACGGACATATATTTGCAACTGTCGAATTATTCTATTTTCTGTACCCAGATCACTGCGTATCACTGCTGGAACTCTGCAAGCACCACTTTCCTTTACACTGTTTAAAAAATATCGAGCTATTATTTTTGGATCGGTATTGCTTGGACCCAACTCAAGCCATATAATCTTTCTACTAAATCCGTCTACTGCCCCGTGAATTGCAAATCCGAAGGGTTTAATTTTATCATATCCGTCGATGTGCCAGATAAAGTCAGGACCAGGACATGAGTATTGGCGACGAAGTAGACGCTTGGCCTTTCGTCTCTGCATACCTTCTGGGTCCGCTATCCACATCAAACGAAGAACAGTTTTTCTACGTACATGTAATCCATAGAAATCTTTAAGCCGCCACCACATAGTCTTATAACCCAAACATCGACCACTTCCAGATATTTCTTTTAAAATGGCACTTATAATCGTTTCAATTTGAGACTCTGGACCTCTTCTAAATAAGCTCATTCGCTTTAACAGTCGTTTTAATTGTCTATAACTTATTCTTATTCCATGAATGACCGAAAGTGTAGCTAAAATTTCCTTGTACTTGTATCCACGACAGAAGTAATGTTGTATTAGATCCAACTTTACTTGAAACACCTGAGTTCTTTGCTTGTCAACTGGCAACACAGCAAGTACTGGATCGACAATAGAACAAGACCATAGTATAAAGATCTGAAAATGATCAAAATAAAAGAAACTTTGTAAAACATACGATTTATCATTTAGCCTAAAGGGACCAATTATCGACAGGAACCAATTATCATTAGGTCATCATTTTGAGAAGGGACAATTGCTTTGAAGTTTTTTATTTTGACCTTAAAACCGATGCCGAAAGGAGATAATAAATATGACTTGAGAACATGGTTGTTGTCGTCCATAGTAAAAATTTACAAAAATAAAAATAAAAGAAATACACAATATATCCCATTGTTTTCTCTTTGCAGGGAAGTAAGTGTATTAATCGTCTGATAACTGGTGCCTCGAGGCTAAGTTTGATAACATTTTACCAACTTTATCATCAAACAAAACAGTATTCTAATTTTGAGAAATTTTATTACATTCTAGAATAACATGTATTAAAATAAACTCAACCATACAAATATAATTTGCCAAATACAAAGACAATGTACTAATATATAACTTACCAATAACATCCAAGAATACATGCCCTTTCCCATGGCGTACTAATCACTGAACTGAAAGTGCGGAAATGACGTGTAATGACGTGGCTTTTTATTATGTCTAAAGTCTGAACTCTGAAATCTGAAGTCTGAAGTCTGAAATCTGAACTCCGAAGTCTGAACTCTGAACTCTGAAGTCTGAAATCCGAACTCCGAAGTCTGAACTCTGAAGTCTGAAATCCGAACTCTGAACTCTGAAATCTGAAGTCTGAAATCCGAAGTCTGAAATCCGAAGTCTGAACTCTGAACTCTGAAGTCTGAAATCCGAAGTCTGAACTCTGAAGTCTGAACTCTGAAGTCTGAAATCCGAACTCTGAAGTCAGAAGTCACCACCGGTCTTTCGTAGTATTCAGTGAGCTGCAAACGACTTATTTAAAACAAATTCATACGACATCATGAAAGGCAGTATTTATAAATGTTCTTTCAGATCTAATCATTAACATTTACATTTGAATGATAATTTTGACAATGTCAAGCTATCCACTAAAAGTAAACAAATAGTACAGGTGTTTCTGACGAATGATATCATTTTATAAAAGATATAAATGCAACAGCAAAGTAAACAGTTTGCTGTTGTCATTAAAAGGAAACATTTAAAGTATTTGTAAAGAACCATGAGGAAAAAGGTACCAAACATGTTGTATATTAATAGAGTGTTAATGCATCTTTTGGTGCATATGCAGAAGCAAGAAGACGCATTTAAAGCCCGAGCTCGCAGGGCATTATAATAACTTAATAGATATGATATTAATAATATATGTTCTCGCATAAAAGTATCCATCTAATTCTGCATCTGCAGGTGCATAAGGACGCATTTATACAGCCTCAGTCCGTAAGGCATAATGATAGCAACAACAACAACAACAATTATAATAATAATACACTTTGATAATTATTATTACAATGATAAGGAGTAGTAACGCTGTTAAAAGCATAAAAGTAAATGTATATACGTCAAATTTTTAAATTCAACGTTTCAATTTGCGTTTTACTAATCATTTGACAGTTTTGTTTTGATTATGGAACTAACGGGGCCGTTATCGCGGTAATTTAATTTTATATGGTGTTTTGGGTCAGGCATAAATAAAACGTTCAATTAAGGAACGCTTGTATACACGCAGCTGTTATAGTCTGATTTTATTGACCTGTCAATTATGAATACATTATAGCACTCATTTACATATTCGATCCCACTTCGGTTTTTTCCGTTTATTTTACGAGAATTAATATGGAGTGTATCACTTACGTTTGGAAAACTCTCACTAGATTAATGTAGGTTCTTGTAACATCCGCAATAGCACAGTCGGTTAAGTGATTACCTAATGCATGAGGGGTCCGAGGTTCGATCCCCTTTATTGATATTGTTTTTAGACTTATTCTTTCTTTATTTTTAAGTTTATTTTAATGAAAATGGTCAAGCGCTTGCAATTTGTCTACACGGATATGAACCAACTAAGAAACACTGAATTGTCACATTTTATATTGTATAATTACATTTATTGATTTTAATCGGAATGAATTTTCAGTATTAATTCTTGTTATATACAAATGTATAGTGTTTACAAAATGGTGCAAAACATATTAAAAATGGAACAACCATATCTTAAAAAACATGTAGAAAATAGTTATGAAAAAAAATACTGGACATACTCTGTCTCGATCCTACAACACGTTGAACATTCAGATAAAATATACCAGTGGTTTACCCTATTGCACTATAACGGTCAGTGTAACTAATTAACAAGATGAATTTAATCACATCTTACTGCGCACATCTCACGGAATTTACCGAACATTTATCGAATATTAATATATTCTGTGCATTGACCGTATAATCAGTTTGGAATTGACAGGTTAATAAAATCAAACAATATGCATGAATTACAATTTCAAAGTAAATTATTTATCAAGTGGAACGCATTCTTCATTTTTGTAATTTCCCATATAAAAGTGATTGATATTTTGTAACAATATTCAATCCTGCATAAAATGCCTATAAGTATTATGCATGTAACGCGTCGGACGTCTAGTAATCGAAGGATTGCTGACTGCATGGGTTCAAACCCGGTCAGGGGCAAGCCTTGAGCTAGAAACTTTGCATTCATCTCTTAGTACTGGTTGGTTCCAGGTACAGATTCGAGAGTGTTTTAATAAGGATTAATAATTCTAACACAATCTAACTAAAATAAATTTGTATGAACTAATATTAAAGAAATCTATATAACAATTATCAAAGATACAATAGATAATGATAGGAACGACATTCAAATACACTCTGTAACAACGGAATAATAAACAGATGTCTTTATAAAGCTGATTGGATGTATTTGAAGTCATAACGACACGATTTAGCTGTTGTGACGACTTTTCCTTCTTTGGTAGTGCAGGAAAACCGCACGTAGAACCACCGACCCCTCTGTAAACAAGCTAAATAACTTCCTGACATATTAGAATCCAAAGCACCTGGCGGAACAGCTGCTTGAATAATCTTTCCTGGATGACTTCAAAATCAAGATAATGCCAGAACAGTTTAAAGCTGCATGCTTACAGATGAGCAAAAATAATTATTTCAATAAATGTACTAAGGTTTTAGGAAAAGTAAAAATATTCAAAATTCAAGAAATAATTTACATGTTATGTGCCATTAATGTCTGATTTTTCAGTGTTTATAACTATATTTCTACTGTGTTACTAACGCAGTTAGGGAATTTTGCATATTTTGTCCTCTTTTTCGTAATGAACGTGGCTTGTAAGTGCCATTGAAAATGTGTAAATTTCTTCCTTTTAGTTATTTCACTAAATAATATTTTTAAACACATTTTTCAAAATTATCATGAACATTAGCATGAATCGGGAGGCGTGCTGCTTTAACGATATGAATAACTTATTAATCATTTGAAGACTTCTAATTCTAAACTATGGTGGCATATTTCTGCCACAAGATAACCTGATAACTAACTAGTTAATTAAGAGGTTAACTAGTTACGTAACTAGTTAACCTGATAACTTACTAGTTAATTAAGAGGTTAACTAGTTACGTAACTAGTTAACCTGATACCTAACTAGTTAATTAAGAGGTTAACTAGTTACGTAACTAGTTAATCTGATAACTAACTAGTTAATTAAGAGATAAACTAGTTACGTAACTAGTTAACCTGATAACTAACTAGTTGATTAAGAGGTTAACTAGTAACCGCCTCCGCGGTCGAGGGGTTAGAGTCGATGACTTCTAATCCAGTTACCTATCTGGCGTGGGTTCGATCCCCGGGAGATGCTTTGGTAGTTTAGCGCGGAGGAAGGTAGTCTAGTACTGGTGTAACTCTCCAGGAACGATGGTTAGGAAACTACCCGCCTATATGACTGAAATACTGTTGAGAAAAGGCGTAAACTGAAGCAAACAAACAAACAAACAAGGTTAACTAGTTACGTAACTAGTTAACCTCTTAATTAACTAGTTAGTTATATGGTTATCTGGTGGTAGAAATATGCCACCATACTAAACAGATTGGCATTATATTTGATGTTATAGACAGATCTATACTCGCAAATGCGGGTAAATGTTAATACAGCATCACGAAATATGTATCATTCAAGGTGGGAATTATGAAGAAACAAAAAGTTGCTTGATCTTATAATGTCGTTACATATACGCCTTTAGATCTTGTGTCTTAAATGAATTCCAGCTGCAAGACTTCAAACATGTAATTAGTAAGTCAAGCTAATATATATATAATGGACTATTGTACTGTTGAACAATAATTCAACAAGAACATCGGCTTCATGAGCGTAATGGTGAATTCGGTGGTGCATATCTTATTAGCTTCGAGTTTATATGGTAAAATATTTTTTTTTTCCTCGCGTTCTTAAGAGGAGTTTATTCTAATAATGAATATATATATTTTTTTAAAATATGCTGCTTCTTACAGTAGGCAATAAAAACGCGACAGTCATTTTAAGTGCTTTACGTGTACTCGGAATAAATATAAAAAAAACTACTAGATGGATCATAAATATCTTAATCTAAATGAAAGTTATAATCGCGTTTGTCACCTGTAAAAATCATTTGCTTTGAACTATCGTAAACTTATTTTGGAAAAGGAGCTTAAAAAGGAATTTTAATACCAATTTAAGTCAATAGTGGTTCTTTAATGTATTTTTGCATATAAATATGATTTCTAAATAATTAAATAATTTAACACAAGAAAATTAGCACTGATCAACATGTAGATTATTTTTTTATCATGAGAAGGCATAGATTTATTGAAAATCTATTCTTAATTTGTCTTTTCAATATTTTCCTTGTAGCGGCTGTGGAAGCAAACAGTTCTGAACCAAAGCCAAGAAAGGTAAATATGTATTTTTTTATTTACTTACTTCAAAGTCAAAGTATCATTTCACTTAATTAGCAGTTTGTTTTCTGAACATGTGGACCATTTCAAATAATGATTAATTCAACTAAATTTTCGCATTGTGTAATAGTAGGTAGATCTGCAATTTATTAAGGCATAATATTAAAAGATAAAAACAGTTTTGAAATATTGTTTATTAGTTTAAACAGTTTAAAGCAACAAGTTTTGTATTACATTGTGGTCATTTAAAATCTAAGCTGTATTGTTCTTTTTCTATTGCGACATATACATGGTCTCTAAATAATTATATGAAACCAAGTTATCTTAATATCAACTTCATATCAAGTTAGTTCAAGTCTATTATGAATATTGTTCAATGCAATATTTGAAGAAAAAGAAAAACAGACGAAAATGTGGCACCAATGAATGCAGTCCTAGGTGTTTGGGTGCATCTGGCAAAACAGTATAACAATGTAGCTCTTAATCTTAAGGAGATATTTTCTTTATCTATTCTTACTATATTTTCATGACTTAAGGCGAACAGATACCTTCTTGAGAAGTGGGGAAAATGGTATACATTTTGTGACATCAATCATGATGGTGTGATATCTCTGGAAGACCCTAAACATTTTGAGTATGTTCATATACATTACATTTATCAAAAGTTTATTACGGTCATAAAAATGTCCGAACATATCCAATGCGCGAGATACTTGAAGTTGAAAGCTCAAGCCGGTGCTAAGGGGCGCGAGGTATTTTGCACTTAATCATTATCCCTAATGTACAGACTTAATCAAACCGATTCTGCAATTTTCATGTTATTTTGTTGTGATTAATGCTTCCGAGGGATCAAAGTTGAAATGAAAGCATAACAAAATGTGTAGATAAACAATACATTATCCAAAATCAAATTAAGTGTAATCAATGGACTTTTACAGTGTTATGCAAATTATCTATCACACTGCTACTTTTGGAATATACATAGTTACTGGTTGACATGGTTTTATTTGTAATACTGTCTGTGCGTAGTTGATCTACCAATGGAAAAACGAATAAAAACCTAATTTGTTTACTATTTAAAACTGGAAAGTTCCATTAATTTCGCCGCCCTTCAGACATTATGTCAAACTATATATCAGCACAATTTTTCTTGACGATATTTGCTATTAAATATCACGTATATAAAGGGAATTTTGTACTTTTCAGCAAAGATCTTTCCCGTAATTATTGTTACAATGTATTTATAGAGAAATATTTTGCAAATATCATTTTGTCTATCAGAAAAAGAGATTACCTTACTGTCATGACAATTCATTTGTACTTCAAAAACATATTTTAAAATGTAATCATATTATACTGTAAACTTTATATACTGTAGCAGATAAAAAAACAAATTTGACTGATATTTTCAACAGGAGTTTTTACAAGGGTTATGATTGCGCAAGAGATGAAAAGCAGAGCTCTTCATTGGAAACAATGGTTCAACTATGGAAGGCAGTCCATTTATTCAACAACACGGAAATCTCTCAAGCCGAATTTGTACAAACAGTTAAGCAACAATTTGAATCAAACAATACCGCTTTCTATGAGTTGGTTCGTGTGTATATGTCTGAATTGAGCAAATTCATAGATTGTAATGCAGACGACCTAATATCAAACGACGAATTTCTAACGCTCCTGAACGCTTTGGGACACAACAATACAGCACAAAATGAAAAACAATTCTTTTCCATACCGGATATTAATGGAAAAGTCCCCCCAGCAGTTGTAGTTGCAAATTTCATGCGCTTTGTATTTGAAAACGACAAATCAAAGCCGGACATTTTCAAAAACTCACTTGATTATGGTATATAAGGTTTATACAAAAGTGTGTGTTTAATTGTGTAAAAGTATATTAGATGTGTAATCTATTATAAGGAAAATAAATATGTTCATGTAAAACAATAATTTCTGTGATTATTTATCCATCCGTTGATGACATTTTAAATTTATGCAATACCTATATGTCACGGTGCATTCTGTACCTTTCATTTTATTTGGTATGAAGTTGTAAAATAGGGAAAAATTGAATCCCGAAAGAAAGCCCCCGAAAAAAATAATAATGGCTGCATTTAATGACCCATATTTCACGCTGTGTTAGACATTTCGGATTTCACCTTGTAACTCTGAATATAATCAAGTTAAAAAATTTAATTTTTATACCGGTAACTTATTATCAATATTAGAATAATATTTTATACTGTGACCTCTGGAGACTTCTTTAAAAAGTAATAATTTAATGAAAAATTTCTACTATAAACTTCAATGTAAAAAGAAAACAAATTAATTACTTTCTTTTGAGATTATGACATTAACGTTCGCTTATCCGTTTATGTTTTAAGCTGTGCACTAATAATAAGTTATTGAAGTAAGATATCATATGAGCCGCGTCATGACAAAACCAAATTAATGGGTTTGCGACCAGCATGGATCCAGACCAGCTTGCACATCCGCGCAGTCTGATCAGGATCCATGCTCTTCGCTATCAGTTTCTCTACTTGTTATAGAGTTTGTAAGCGAACAGCATGGATCCTGATCAGATTGCGTGGACGCGCAGGCTGGTCTGAATCCATGCTTGTCGCAAACCCATTATGTTTGGCGAATACACGAGGACACTTATTGGTCGTGGGATACTAAATTATACCCAAATGTCATCAAGAGCTTTTATGCATGTGGAAGGAATGGTATTTTTCAGGCTGTAAACGAAATATTTAGAGAGATGACATTTGGTGATAGGTAATTTGAATGAATTGTAGTAAGTTTTTTTTCTTTTTGTTAAATTTGAAATTAAAGTCTATCAATTTCAATTTTAATTTTCTTAAAACAGCCCTGACAATGTCAGAATTGTCAGCAAAAAATAAAATTGCGGTACCATATGGGGAAATCTTTAAAAGTAGTCTCATTGAAAACTGTGTGACTCAATTTTGATAATTTTCACTGTGAAATTATCAAATATAATTTTCACGGATAAATCAGTAATCCACTCAAAAGCATTGAATAAATTCAAACAATTTTGTTACGCGGATGAATATCATTTTAATCAATGAAAATTGCTCGGCTATTTCCGTAAAGCTTCTCGGCTATTTCCGTAAAGCTTCAGATTATTGTGATCGCCTAAATGGATATTTGTTAGTTAGACTTTCTGAAAATTAAGTAGGGATGTTGACTCTAGGACATGGAGGTTAGGTAGTCGTTGATCGATAATCAGTTTCTTTCTTGTAAGTTCAGCACCCGATAATTTAATCCATATAAACAAAGCGCTAATTTTAGCGTATTACACAAAGAGTAGTGAAATATTATATACATATGAGACGATTTTTTCTAAATCATTTCGCAGATGGTTTGTTTGTTTGTTTCATTTTACGCCTTTTCAGGCAGTTTTTCAGTCATATAGGCGGGTAGTTTCCTTACTATCGTTCTTGGAGAGTTACACCAGTACTAGACTACCTTCCTCGGCGCTAAACTACCAAAGCATCTCCCGGGGATCGAACCCACGCCAGAGAGGTAACTGGATTAGAAGTCATCGACTCTAACCCCTCGACTATGGAGACGGTAACATAACAATTAAAACGACGCGTGACACTTATATATTAGCTCCAACATACATCAATGTTAAACAACAGGTTTACCATGATACAAACAGTAATTTAGAATAATCTGGTTTGCTTCGGTCTTTTTTCTTATTGCTTCCCCGTGGTCCTGGGGTTACACGCTCGGTTAAGAGTCGAGAAGTCTGGGGTTCAAATCCCAGCTAAGGCAACTCATATTATATTTTTTCTTTTAAATTGTTTAAACCAAATAAACATTGCATTGAATATCAGTGTTGCAATTAGCCTTATAGCCAATTTGCTATACAAAACAATTTAGTTTATAATCTGACAACCTTCACCTTTCTTACATTCTGAGACCCAAACAAAATCAGCGCCTTCTGTGCTTTTTTTTTATTTATAAACTCGAGGCGTCGATTTGTAAGGTTTCAGAGATTTCTTCATTCCCAATACAGTCCACATTAAGTCATTTGGCGTTGATGATAACGAGGACGCTGATTTGAAAGCTTCAACGTAAAGTTTCCCGAAGAGCACGGTTTGAAAACGTGAACGATAAATGGATTTCCAGTCACCGCAAATGCCTCGAAGTATTGCTTATGAAGCTTACGTCGCTGTATAAGGATCTTAAATCCTGATTATTGACGTACACGTATTCCATTTTTGTCGCTCAGACATGAATTCAGTTACAGGCTCTGTGGCATTTTTAGGACATACCTCATATATTTATGCAACGTATGCATGTATTTATTAAAAAAATAATGTTACTTCTTGGATTGTATAATTTTTATCGGTATGTAGCTTTTAGATTTTCAAAGCAGAGTCCGGCTGCGAACGATTAATTTAAAACGAATTCATACGACAATTGAAAGGCGGTTTTTTTAATAAAATCAATGTGCTTTCAGATCTAATCATTAACATTTACTTTTGAATGATTAACTTGACAATGTCAAGCTTTCCACTGAAAGAAAACATATAGAACAGGTGTTTCTTACAAATAATATCATTTATAAAAGATATAAATTCAACAGCAAAATAAACTGTTTGCTGGTGACATTAAAAGTATACGTAAAGAACCATGAGATAAAGGTACAAAGCATGTTGTATATTAATATAGTGTTAATACACCTTTTGCTGCACCTGCGCAGACGCACGAAGACACATTTTAAGCCCGAGCTCGCAGGACATTATAATAAATTAATAAATAATATATTAGTAAGGTGTATTAATGCTGTTCTCGCAAAAAAGTATGCGTCAAATTCTGCATCTAATAATGCAATAAATGCAATAATAATGATACTAATGATAATATGATTATCATTATTTCACTGATCAGAGTGTATTAACGCTGTTAAAAGCATAAAAGTATATACGTCAAATTCGAAAATTCAACGTTTCATTATCCGTATGCCTTTTATGCGCTAGTGCGATGTCATTTGACTTTTTGCCTTTTGTTTTGATTATGGAACTAACGGGGCCCTTATTGCGATAAGTTAATTTTATAAGGTGTTTTTGGCCAGGCATAAACAAAACGTTTAATTAAGGCAGTCGTGTATACATGCGTGCGCAGCTGTTTTGCCTCAATTACAATTTCAAAGTTTTTTTTTTCAAGTGGAACGCATTCTTCATTTTTGTAATTTCACATATCAAAGTGATTGATATATTGTAACAATATTTAATCCTGCATAAAATCTCTACAAGTATTATGCATAATATATCACTTTATCCCTTTTATATTTAAGTAATCTGTATAACAATTAAGAAAGATCCAATAGATAATGAGATGGAACGACGGTTAAATACGAGTACACTCATTAACAACAGCATAATGAACAGATGTGTTGTGTTTATAAAGCTGTTTTAACCACCGACCCCTCTGTAAACAAGCTAGATAGCTTCCTGACATATAAGAATCCAAAGGACCTGGCGGAACAGCTGCTCGAATCTGTCCTCAACATCAAAATCATGATATTTCCAAAACAGTTTAACGATATGAATAACAGTTTAATAATTTGAAGACTTATAATGTAATTCTAAACAGATTGGAATTATATTTGATGTTGTAGACACATCTGTTCTCGCAAATGCAGGTAAATGTTAATACAGATTCACGAAATATGCGTCATTCAATGTATGGTTTACGAAGAAACACGTTTGCTTGATTTTTATAATGTCGTTGGCTATACGTCTTTAGATCTTGCGTCTAAAATGAATTTCAGCTGCAAGACTTCAAACACGTAATTAGTAAGTAAAGCTAATATATGTAATAGACTGTTGTAATGTTGAACAATATTTAAACATGAACATCAGCTTCATTAGGATGATGGTGAATTTGGTGGTGCATGTCTTATTAGCTTTGAGTTTATATGGTAAAACATATATCTTCTCTTCACGTTCTTAAGAGGAGTTAATTTTAATGAGGAATTTTTTTTATATATGTTGCTTCTAAAACGCGACAGTAATTTAAAGTGCTTTATGTACACTCGGAAGAAATATAAAAAACTACTAGATGGATCATAAATATCTTAATCTAAATAAAAGTTATAATCGCGTTTGTGAACTGTAAAAATCATTTGCTTTGAACTACCATAAACTTATTTTGGAAAAGGAACTTAAAAAGGAATTTTAATACCAATTCCAGTCAAAAGAGGTTCTTTTATGTAATTTTAGATATTAATATGATTTCTGAATAATTAAATAATTTAACACAAGAAAATTAGCACTGAACAATATGTAGTTTATTTTTTATCATTAGAATGGATAGATTTATTGAATATCTATTCTTAGTTTGTCTTTTCAATATTTTCCTTGTAGCGGCTGTGGAAGCAAACAGTTCTGAACCAAAGCCAAGAAAGGTAAATATATATTTGTTTTGTTGATTTATTAACTTCATAGTCAAAGTATCATTTCACTTGATTAGCAGTGTGTTTTCTGAACATGTAGACCATTAAAATTAATGATTAATTCAACTAAATATTCACACTGTGAAATAGCAGGTAGATTTGCAATTGATTATGGACTAATATTAAAAAGGAATTAGTTTTGAAAAATTTTAAGCTACATGTTTTGTATTACATTGTGGTCATTTAAAATCTAAGCTGTATTGTACTTTTTCTATTGCGACATATACATTGTCTCTAAATAATTACATGAAACCAAGTTATTTTAATATCAACTTCTTTTCAAATTAGTTTGTTCTGTGCAATATTTGAAAAAGAAAAATATCAGACGAAAAGGTGGCACAAAGGAATGCAGTCATAGGTGTTTGGATGCATCTGGCAAAACAGTATAAAAATGTAGTTCTTAATGTAAAGGAGATATTTTCTTTATATATTTTTACTATATTTTCATGACTAAAGGCGAACAG